GAATGGGACACATTTCTGAATGGTGACAATGAGGAGGAATGGCCAGGTGGCTTTTAGTTGGATATTTCTCCATCAATCTCATCCAGTCCTGTGTATTTTACTATTGAAATGGTAAAAAATACCAGGTATTTTACTACAAAAACTCTGAGAATCTCCTACCAATGCTGTTACAGGAAGCAAACCTGGTTGTGCAACGCTGGAATAGAGCCTTTGGGAGTGTACAGCCCCTGTTTTAGGAGACAGAGGTAAGAAAAACCTCTCCAGCTTGTTAAGGATTTGCAGTACAGAGCCATGAATGCCTCTCAAGCCATGTGCCAAGGTCAAACTGGCTTTTCTGAACCATAAGTGCACTTTTGTGTGCCTTAAAATTGTTCATCCCTGCTTCATATCAGATCAATTATTTGATGATGTTTTTCCAAAGCGCGGTGTTTCTGACTCACAGGGGCTGCTGGAGAGAAAAATTCTCTCATTTTCTATGTAATTGTACCACAGCTTTATGAATGAAAGGGCTTGAATTGGCAATCTCTGAGTTAAATGAGTAACTGGTAGCAGAACACTTCCCCAAGGGGACTCTAGGATTTAGGAGCCATTTCCTAGCCTGCTGCCTTAGACTCTGAATTTCTTGACCTTAAGGATACCCTGTAACAGGCTTCTGTTTCCCAGGAAAAAACTGTCAAGCTTTAGTGCTTTAAAAATTTAATTAAGGATTTCTTGTTTAAAAGTTGAATTCTTGGCTGGAATTTTACAGGTGTTGACTCTTTACAACCCCATTATCTCAAATTAATTTTTGAATGAAATGCTCAGAATATCACTGAGCTTGCCAAAATAGAGATTGTACCAGCTCTAGTTGCATCTGTGAATATTTGAATATTTTGGGTTCAGTGAAATTGCACTTATTAGGTCTTGTTGGCACGTGTAGGATTGGGCCCGCGAAGATGAGTTTGGAGTATAATTTCCATAATTTTTGTCCTTTAATTTCAGATAAAGATGGTTTCTAAGAGTTTATTCTCTTTGGGTTTCCTTCTGTAATAAATGATAGCTGATGCTGTGTTTCCATACCAAATATTCTCTTAGAAGAGTGTCAGCTGTCCTGGTAAGGAATTAGCTCTTCCCTGTTTTCCATTTTTAACAGAGGGTTAGTGAACCAGCTTATAGAAAGCACATTCAGTGAGGAGCAGGGAAAAAAATACCTCAATCAAAACAGCTGTACTGCTGCAAATGAATGATTACTCCTAGGGGAAGGAAGTAGGGTGGGAGAAGAGCTGCATCATACAGTTCAATGGGAAATAAGGTTTGTGTAAAAGCTGGAGAGCAGCATAAGATTTCCTTGCACATCCACACCATGAAGTATATTTTTGTAGCGCATCATTTCTCTTTAGCTGGTGTGTTCAGTTACTGCTCATCTCCCTGAGGGATTTTTATTAGTATTGAAGAGGACTTCACCTGGAAATGGAGTAGCCTGAAATTTGACAAGTTGGAAAAATACTTACATTTTTATCTGAATGAAAAAATGTAGTGCTAAAAAAACAAGCAGGGGAGGGGGAAGTAAACATGCATTTCAACAGTCTCAGATGGTTAGTGCTCCATTTATGGAAAACAACGTCATTATGACACATAATTAATTAGTTAATTACAGAGGCATCTATTATTTTCATATGGGGAGTCGTACTGTAAATAGTCCATTAATCTATTTGTGTCCATAGAATCCGAGAGCAAGTAAATAATGTTCTTTCAGTTTGTGATCATTTGTACCGTGAGAGAAAGCATTGCCAAGGTGCTGTGCTGCCCTGGAAATGGCTTTCCAAGAAGGCAGGGATGCACCTTTGGGCCTGGAGACTCAGGGTTTGAGAAGGAAGAGGTGAAGTTTATAGAGGGATCTAAGGTAGGCATGAAACTGAGGCATGAAAATAGGTTCCAGCCAACTATGCTATGCCTCACTGGTGCTTTCACAAAAATCATGTGTCTAACGTGGATTTCAGCAATTTAGTGAGCATAAAATCACTTCCAGAAGCATCACTGACCCCTGTGTTGACCTGGCAATGAGAACTTTACTGGAGTTTATATTATTTATGAAAAACAATGAATAAATTCTTTCTGTGGTAGTGCGTGCTACTCCTTCCCCACATTTTTGTTTCATCTTCCTGTTGTCTGGTTTTTGTACTTAGCCTTTTGCTTTCCATGACTCACCTGCCTCCTATCTCTGACCAAAAGTCTTATTTTGCAGAAGACAACCTTATAAACTTGTGCATTTTGCCTTTAAAGCTGAATGTTAGAAACAAACATGTTCTAAATGCCAATGAAGCAGAAGAATATCTTCCAAAATGCTATGAATTTCCACAGTGGAAGGGAGATGGAAGTGTGCAACAAAGCGCAAAGAGTGAAGAAACAGCATCCAGCTTCTGAACTGTGGTACTGTGATCCAAACTGGCACTGTTTCCAACTCAAAAGTCTCTGTGTGAGGCCAAAGTCTCCCTCTTTGTGCAATCTTTCCTGCAGAACAGCAGCTCCCCCCTGGCAGCATCGGGAGTTGGCAACGCACTACAAATGGTTTCATGGGGACTTGCTAAGCTGGGAAGTGAGGAGGAGGGCAGAGTAAGCCCACTATAATTTTCCTTTAATGTTCTTTTTTTTCACTCCTTCCCAGGAGCACAGGCAGCCCTGGTTTGGATTCAGGGGATGAAGTCACATCCTTGCCCTGTCGGGACCTGCGTCTGCCACAGCGTCAGGAGGACAGGGGACTTGTAGCACTGGGCTGGCTACATGGGAAATTCTCATCACAGCAAAGGCAGTGGGAATTGAAAGCAAGCTGCTGGGCTGCCACTCTCTCCTGAATCTGCACTGTGACTGCAGCCTGTCCACAGGGAGCAGCTGGGACAGGAGCTGAGCTGGAATAGCAATCACACCCTGCCCTTTCTGCAGGAGCTTGTCTGTGGTCACTCATGGCTTGTGCTGCTTCCCATTCCTCAGCATTCCCTCAGGACAGGTGTCTCAGTCTGTGCTCAGAGTCCTGTCCTACAGGACAGCTCTATCTCCAGCATCCCCACAGGGAACCTGCCCCCAGGAGATGCAGAATCCAGCAGAAAAGTGGTGTCTTCTCCCCTCCACATGGCTGTGGTGCCACATTAGTGCCACATTTGATAATGTTGTTCTCCTTCCTGTTGCTCTCTGAATGCGTGACTTCAGTTTTCTGCCTTAGAGGCTTCACGAGCTAAAATCCATTCTGAGGGAAGAAGAATACTGAAAAGCAGCAAAAAATGCTGCCTGGAATGGCCTTGACTATGAACACATCGACACTGGGTGTAAGACAAAAAAGTTAGAGGATAGAAGATTGAAACCTCAGATATAACAGAGCTTAAATTAAAATTGTTTTATTCTACAACTGCAAGATGCTATGTGCAAAAACAGACTCACAAGATGAAAAGATTGCAGGAGGAAATTGCTTATGCCCCAATATTTCCCTGGCTCCTTTCTCAGCTCTCTGGTTTCCACCATTTCCTTACATACATACCAAGTTCATTTTCGTACAAGTAGTTATTTTGTTTTGGTTTTGAAATAAGAAAATAGAAGGCTGTAGTAGGAGTCATTTTCATATATTTACCATCTGATATTTTCCTGGTTTTCTTTTCCCCCAGCAGTCTCTCTCTCTCAAAATCTCTGCTATTTGTACTTATAAAGCAACCCACACATTTTCCAGTAGTATTTCCACTCTCCAGGATAATGTTTTTTGGACTGATATAGTGTAATACTTAAGAGGAAGAAAATATCTTGAAAGAATTCTTCTTATTTTCACCTTTTGATGTTCTCAACTGCCTTTTTTTCCTGAAATCTGATGGGTTGCAAGACAAGATTTTAAGTATTTACAACCATCTCTAATAAACCGCTTCATGGATATTTATGAGGTGCTGTTTTAGCAGGCTGTATTATAATATTAATCAAAATCAAGGCTGCCTCTTGGAAACACTCCAAGAGTTAGATCTTTGCTGAAATCTTTCCAGGTATCTTTATTTTTCCCATTCCTTTTGTTTTTTGTTGTTGATAATTTCCAGTTAAGTTATTTATCAGATGATGTTTGAATACATATGAATACAGTTTTGACAGGAACTCAGAGAATCCTGAAATTAATCTTTGTTTTAATGTTTATTCAACACATTTATATTTGTTTTCTGTTTATTTCTAAAGGAAAGGAGCCATATTAGCACCCTGCTGTGCCACTAAAATTACATTGTATGAGTTTATTGCTTACAAGCAGAGATGTCCTGGCACCTTCTGAAGATGTGTATGAATCCTTGGTGCAATTCTCACATCCCTCACTCAGAGGTCTGATGAACCCAGGAGACCAACAGGTACAATTTCAAGTACCTGTTTCAGGTTAAGGATTGTTTTTTTTCTGAAAGCTCAACTTGACACCCTTAACTTTTAATTTTCAGGGGCATTAATTCCAGCTGTCAGTGTGTGTTGAATGTTTCAAACCTCCAAGGGAGCAAGTAAAGTTTAGTGGGAATTTTTCAGATGGACTCCTTGATGATTTTCAGAAGTTCACAAAGGTAAGGCCAGGCCAACTGGGCACAAACCCCCTGCATTTTCTTGTTTATGTCTGCATGTATTTCTAAGCTGGATATATGACACCCTTCCTTTTTAGCCTGTTAGCTTGAAAGCCACTCTAGTGTGGTCAAACAGGATCAAGATCAGAAATCGTTCCTATTTTGTGTTGCTTTGGGTTCAATATTTGCCTGATAACTTTGTGAACTTTCAAGAATCGCTGCAGAATTGCTGGGGATAGGCCTAAACCAGTTCTTAGTTCTCTGCTTTAATGTTAACATTTCCCACACAATAATTGCTGGAGTATGGAACCACACAGGAAAACTCCACAATAAACCAAAATACCCACAGATGTGATTTGGGAAAGACCAGTGACATATAAAATACTTATACAATACAGAATCACAGCAAAGGCATGCCAAAGAATAAATCATGAAATATATTTTATTTCAAAATATTTTTTTCAGCTGTAATGGCCTGAGATATTACCTGCAGCACAAGTCATTTGAAACCTGCAATATTATTTTTAGTGCCTTTCCCTTTGCCCTTGTACCATAAGCAGTGCAGTATGTGCAGCTGCAGTTAGAGGGCCACTGCTGATCAGTCCTAATTAAAACACTTCTCATGTGCTTTATTGATGCACTCTCAGCTTTGGCCCACGCTTTTAGGGAATATCATGGTAAATGTATCTGAGGGGAGATGACAAAGTCTGAAAAATAATAAATGCTGGTGTTCAATTGGTCTTACAGGTGAGCCAGGAGTTGTCCTGGTCACTCTCCTGCTCTTCCACAGCTGCATTTTGTCCATGCTGAGTTAAATTCCAAGGGCCCAATTCACCACTCCATTGCACTGGTTTGATGCTGGTGGAATTCCATTGACTTTCACAGAAATGCAACCGCTGAAGGCTTTAGAAACAAAAGTGGCCTTCAGGCCTCAAGGCACACAAACAGGGGTCAATCCACTGTTACAGTCTGGAGAGCTGAAGGACTTGGAAATGTTGCTATTTTTAGCAGGATGATAACAGGCCATCAGTCCCCTCTGCAGCACCGTCTGGAAGTCTGGAGCTATAACAGAGCAAGTGGTTAAAAATCAGCCACAAGGAAAGAAGAAGTCTCCAAAAGATTGGTGGAATCCTCTGGAGAAGAAACATTTCTTTCTTTATCTAAATCCCAAAGGCTTTTTACTGTTGTTGAAATCAGGATATCCTCATTGATGTCATGAAATCAAATCTGACTGAAGCTTGGGAGTGAAGAAGAGGTTTTGGAAGCTGCCCTGAGAGGCTGTGGAAACAAGCAGACTGTGCTTGAGGGCAGGAAGGAGGAGTATGCAAGGACAGATATTTTCTGTCAGCAGCCTGAGTTCCCAGCAGTGAGAACTTCTGATCAACAGAGTGATGTGGAGGCTGCAGAGACCTTGTGATCACTGATGCCCCACTCTGTGCACTGGAGCATCTGCAGTGGAATAAATAGTCTTTAGCGTTGGAAATGCAGGCAGAGAAATTGTGGTTTCTGTTGTGCAGAAATCTCTGGACAGGGCAGTTTTATCTGGCCAAATCCACTCTGCAGCCTCCCTTGTGATGTGCTGAAGTGGCACTGGCAGCCCTGTGCACTGGATTCCATCCTAATAGATCGAGAGAATAGTCAAACTTCAATTTGCCTTTTCCTACATTCCCAACACTGCAAGTTTGCAGAGAGGACAAACAAGGCATTATCAGGGAAGTTATATGCAGAAATCTGCTCTGATTGACTGAGAGTACATCAGCCTTGACATATTCTTGCAATATTTTTCAGCAACAGAAAGAAAGAGAAGGATGCATTACATCAATCAAATTAACAGGGCAAAAAGGCAAATGCAAGGCAAATGTCAGTTCACTCTGCAGATCCCATTCTTGCCCAAGTGAAAAGGAGGGAGTAAGGTGGGCCATTGTACCCATTATTGGTCTGCCATACAAAATAGACAATTACTTGTGTTGTGTGAGACAGTTTTGCTGTTCTCCTGTGCTGAACTGCTGTGCTCTGTTCCAGTGTTATACGGTTGTAGCCAGTGTGCTGGAGAGAGCAAGCAGAGAAAAGGCTGTATGCCTGAATTAAAGCAGTACCCAGAGAAATCCATTATATTTTGATTTATAATTATGGAAATTCTTTTATCCAGTGTGTCAAAGTGATTTGAAAGCACCGAAGCAACTCCACAGCATAGGTATTACTTGCTGTAGCATGATATCAGCTCTGGGAAGTTTACCTCAGCTACACTTAAGCTGACAGCCTGGAGGTCAGTGCCAAAGAGGCACATTGCTGGAGTTGCATTTTCCAGATGCCAGGGAGATGAGGCAATGCTGAGGGAACTAAGCCCTGCTGGCTGTGAACCCCTGAGCCCAAGCTGCACATTCCAGCTGCTTCCTCTTCCTCCCGGTACGAAGGACAGGCAGGGCCTGGTTCCTTTCCTGGGGAACTCATCTCTTTGGGGTGGGATGAGTGTTTTTGGCTTTCCATCCCCTGTGGACCTGCCTGCAGGCTGCAGCCTGGACATCACAAAAAATGGAGAGGTTTTTAAGAGGTCTCCCTTCTCTGACTTCCTCTCAATAATCACAGCATGAAAATCGAAAAGCAGACTCCCAGCAAAGTACAGCTCAGGCAACAGGGGGCTGGTTCCTAAGTGGCTCCTGGCTCTTCTGACCCAGAAGGGTGTTTAATGGGAGAGGCTTTGGAGTGGATGTCCTGCTGGTGAGGATGTCCTCACCTGAAGGTGAGGCTGCTCAGATACTTCTTGAGCTAATTTTCCTTTCACTGCAGAGCACATTCCCCCTCCATTCAGGAGGTGCCTGTCTTGGTCAATTCTCCCAAAAAGCCACTTGGAAATTAATCCTTTTTTGCTTAAACACTCTGCCACAATATCAGCCTCTTGCACAGTTCATATATCAGCCTGCTGATGCTACAGGGGTGTTGCTTCATCCTTGATGAGCTGTTCAAAACAGGTGCTCACCCTGAGGGTTTGACTTAAATCCAACAGAATTAAGAAATGTTAAAGGGGGATCTGCATCTTTCAAGCAGACCCATTGTGTCTTGGTGCTGTAGATAAGCTCCAGTCAGTGTAAGAAGAGGCAAAGTTTCACTCCAGTAAGAGCAGTGCAATTTGAAATGTTGGCAGCTGATAAGTGCAGGTGAGGATAAAGGCATGTCTGCATCAGTCACTTGCATTTCACTCGGAATATATTTTTCTTTGTTGGAAAATCCTACAGATATATGCACCCATCTGCTCCTCAATCCACATTATCTTACTGCTAGTGTGCTTAATTATATCCTTTCCATAAAATCCCCAATTTTAATATGCCTTGCAAGTAAATTCTACACCTTCTTTCTAAAATATAACATCCTAAGTATCTCTCCAGGCCTCCAACTTGAGAGACCTGAAAATGCAAATGAAAATATTTTTACTTCTCTCTGAAGATACCTCTAGACTCCAAGGTTATGCAGAGTCTTGTCCTTATATCATCGTACCTGCATCTTCTGCTTCTGAAAATATTGACCCAAAGGACCTTTTGCACACCTCAAAACAAACACAGGCTGAGTGAGAGCTGTACATGAGAAGGTGCAATTTGAAAGCATGTTATCTATTCATTCTGAGAAATTCCCACACTTTAGTGTATATATATTGTTCATTTTTCTGTCATGCAGGGAGAAAATAAAGCAGAAAGCTTTCTTTTGCACTAAACTGAGGTCCTGTCCTTTTGCACTTGCATTATTCTGGGATTAGGTGACACTATGTATCTTTAATTTTACTTATTTACATTGAGTTGTATTTAACTCCTTGATAATGGGATCCTATTCAAATATATTGGGTTTATCTCTTTTGACTCTGAAAGCACAAATAATACCAAAATTTCAGTTGAACTTTCATAAAGCTGGTGCTGTCCTATAGTAAAGCCAAATAATCACATTGATTTTCACTTGGCATCTAGACTAACTCTTAAGGAATATATGTGGTAATTGATTTGTATGCTAGAGTTGCTGCAGGGTTTATTTTCAAAATGAGATTTTGGGGTAGGGTATTTTTTTGTTAATTAAATATATTTAAAAGGATTTATGTTCTCTTCTTGTTCAAATAGACTGAATTTTCAATGACTTCTACCAAAATGTTAGGTGATCTTCTGCAGTAAATAACCCTTTTTGTGAGATAATGCAGGAGGAGTCTGAGAAATCCTTACTTTTATATTACTTCTCCCAGACAAAACCAAATATTACAGTTATCGTTTGGGTTCCTATTGTTTTAGTGACATTTTAAAGACACCACAGCTTAATGAACACGTTTTAATGAGTAGGGATCCAATTGTTTTTAGTTTAGGTCTTAAATTTTCCCCCTTGTTAAGCACTTCTGCTTTTACTAGAATATTTTGAGTTAAAATGGAACAGATTTTGGGAAGTAACCTTAATATCATCACCCCTTCTTATGACTGTCTGTGATAAGAGTCCCCAGAGGCTGCACCTGGAGCAGTGTGTGCCTTTGCCCAGCTCCATTCTGAATTTCCACTTGTCCCAGGGAGAGGGGAGGGACAGAGCCCTCCTGGGGCCAGCAGGAATTGCAGACATGGAGCCAAACCCCTGGTCATTCACACAGAACTGGGCTGGGCAGTGCTGGGATAAATGCTAAAAGAAAATCTAAGCATGTGGGATGGGATTTTAAGATAAATTTATGAGCCTATTTAGTGACCTGTCAGGTGATTTGGATTTATTTTTAAGTGATCATAAAAGCTCAAACTGCAGAAATCAGTTTTTTTTAGAGACATGTTTAAGAAGCCAAATTTACGAGTTCTGACAATGTTACAAAGCAGCTGAGAAACTTAAATGCATCTTCCAGCTTTTATTGCTCTGGTCCTTAGCTCCAGTGGGTATCAGTTGGATGTAAAGATGCTTATTAAAACTCAGTCTCATCCTTCCACTGATAGCCCTCCTATATTTATCAAGTATTTTTGTGGCGGTTTCAGTGGATGACAGCCCAGGAAAGGGATGACATCTAACAATTGATTGATAAATTGAACTAATTTTTGAAATATCTGAGTTCCTGCCCCTGATTTTCCAGACTTCATAATGGCTGCACAGGTAATTTGGCCTTTTTGATCTTCTGTCACTCACTTTTGATGGAAGCAAGAGCATTCTTCTGTTTTGGAGAGAGGAAGGAGGAGATCTGAAACACACCAAAGGAATAAAACAAGCATAATAATAATAATAATAATAATAATAATAATAGTAGTAGTAGTGCAACTAAAATAATAGAAAAGCAGTTGCCAGGTTTTGAGCTGGGCTTGCAGTGGGCCAACAGCCATTGACAAATTCAGATGTCTCTTCAGGGAGTGCATTTAAAGCTTGTCATCTTCAGCTGATACACACCAAGTAGGGCTGTGTTCTAAGGACACTTGACATTTATTGAGACAATTATTTAGTCAACCAAACCCCTACCTACTTGTGCAAGGGAATTGACCCTTATCTCACTCAGGGGGCTGCAGACACACACATCACTTTGCCTCTGTCTTCAGAGAGAATTAGTGACAAATCCAGGTTTACAGGGCACAGGAGGGTTCCTGGCCCCCAGTGCTGTGTTTGGGCTATTGATGACATCAATCATGGTGAAGGCACAGTGCAGTTGCCAACCCCACTAGGTATTGCTGTTTTTTAAAGATATCCAACACCAAATCACAAGCACTTGAGCTTCTTTCAGGAAGCAAGAGGCCTGGCCTGCGTTCTGTCACTGCTGAAGAGAAATGCAATGCATTTATCACAGGAAAAAGGTGTAGACTTGAGATTTAGTCATCTTCCTGTGTATAAAGATTTGATGTATGTTATTAGAAGCTACCTGCCTGAGCTGTATTTCATTTAAGCTTTTAGAGCCATCTAAATCAACTTCTTTAGCTTTAGGAAGATAAAGATTGTAAAACAAGTTATCTGAGCATCAGGAGGACTACTGCATAGATTTATACCTGCTACATACAGTAGGTGTGTAATTCACTTATAAATCACCAAGCTGGTGCACATTTTCAGAATTATCTGGATATTTGGTTAGTACAAATTTAAATGAAGTAATATGAGCATGTGCTTGCTTTTTGTAAGGCAAGGAAGAACCACAGGCAAACAGAAGTTAAAAATAATGAAAGGTACCAAGAATACAAAGCTATTATTCTTACATTGTCAATGCTTAGAAAAATGCCTGCTGAAGCATTGTTCATAATAATGATATTACCTCTGTAGATCAGGATGTCTTACCAAGAACAGGATGCATTTGCTGTACCTTTATAAGGAGGGGTTGAAGAATTAGGTGGTTCTCCAGCTGACTGGAACTGGATGTCTGGAATGGCTTTCCTCACAAGTCAGTTGCATTTGCATGCATGAGAATTATTTCTTCAGAAATACTTGTCTGGAAGTAAGCAGGAGCTGTGGAGAAAGGTAAAATGACTATGCCATTTTTGGTCATTTAAATAGAAAAGTTGTCTGAATTGTGGAATTTATTTAGCTGCTGTACAAAATCCCTTGCCATGCTGACTCGAGACCAAATATCTGGCTTGGCTGTAGCAGCCAGCTGGAGCAGAGCTGCACAACCTCTGGAGGCAGCAGGATGGCAGGAGGGGATGTGGCTGGAATCACAGCCTGGCTGTCTCCCATTTCCCCAACTTTGAGGCAGCCATTTCAATGCCTTGATGACCAAAAACTTCTTAAAACTATTCTCAACCCAACCCAGCCCAAAAAATATATAAACCCCCTCACCCCAAAACAAAAGAAAAAAATCCTCACTAACAATCCAGAGAGAGAAAATACGAGCATGGTTTAAAAGTGTTTGTTTCCTTATGACTTTGATTTTTGTTTCTAAAAGAAATTCTGGGTCTGGGGGGAAAGGAGAAATTGTAATCATTCTTTTACCCTTAGGAATAAAGGTGCTAGACAAAGCTGTAGCAGTATTTAGTCATACCTCAGTTTCTTCTCCTCCTTAATGAACTTGGCTGATGAAGTGCTTCTGACATTGTCTGTGGAGCTGTTTGTCACTTTTCTCATAATCTTTACTCAGAGGGGAATGATGTGGGGGGAAATTTCTGTATGGCTGTACTGTCCTACAACAGCCCTGAAACAAGCCTTTGCCATTATCTTCCTTGCACAGCTATTGTGCTAGATAGCTGGCAAATAACTGAATTCTGCATTTCCAAGAGCTCTCCTTTTAAACAAAAATTGATATTAAAGAAGTGTAAAGCTGTGCTTTAAGAGTTAACATCTGAGTACAGTAGGGTCTTCATATTTCCATGGCAACAGCTTAACATGATCAGTAAGTAGAGTGGACTATTTTGCTATGAGGCGTCATTAAAAGAAAAATCATGCTGGGAAACACACATGTATCACAGAATAAAATCTCTTCTCCCTGGTTTTGAAAATAGACAATTTCTTTGTTGTTCTGTATTGATACATTGTTTTGAAATTGCTGTTGCATTAGAAATGCAAACAGTAATTTACTCGGCTTTTAATTACAGTTTTTGTGATTGCGGTGATGTAAATTTAAAGAAGCAACTTTACAACAGAGGTAATCTGACAGCTGCCACTAAACCACTTATTTACACTATGTATCACCACATTTTCTACAGCAGGTTCTTGTTGGAGTGTTGCACCGTTCTCTGTGGTGGCAGGGGTGGGCTCAGCTGCCGGTGGAGCCATTTCTATTAAGAATATATTGATAGCTGCTGTACCAGCAGTGGCCAGCCTTTCCTGCCAAATTCATTATTTTTGAGAGGTCAGAGGTCTGCAGAGGCTGTGATGGGACAGGTTTGCTGTTCCTCTCTGCTCCGTGTGTCCCTCGCAGGGTGTGAGGGAACACGAGGCCTGGCATTTTGTTCTGGAGGTTCCTGTTAATGATCTCTGCCCCTGCTCTCCTGCACGCTGTGAGAGCAAGCAGAGCTCTGAGAGTGCTAAACTCTGCTCACTCCTCTTCAGCCTGTCACTCCTGAGGGCAGGGTCTGCATGGAGACAGCAGCGGAATTCTGGCTGATTCTCTGCTGTTAACTTCCATGCCAGTGAGGGAACTCTTCCTCGTTTGAGGGTGTGCACCAGCCCAAGATGTCAAGTGTTATTTTAGCATCCTGAAATGAGCTACCGCTGACAGACTGCATCATGTCTACAGGCTCTGCAGGGGGATCTGGCCAGGCTGGATCCGTGGGCTGAGGCCAGGGCTGTGAGGGACAGCAGGGACAGGGCCAGCTCCTGCCCTGGGCTCAGCCCAACCCCATGGAACTGGGCTGGGGCAGAGGGGCTGGAAAGCTGCTGGGGAAAGGCCCTGGGGGTGCTGGTGCCAGGGGCTGGGCACAGCCCAGGTGTGCCAGAGGCCGATGGCACCTGGCTGTGCCAGCCCTGGGGTGGCAGCAGGCCCCGGGCAGGGCCCGTCCCCTGTGCTGGCCCTGCTGAGGGACCTCCAGGGCCGTGTCCAGCTCTGGGCCCTGCTTTGAGAAGGGGGCTGGATCAGACACCTCCAAAATCCCCACCTTGTGAAATTCTTTTAGATCTGTGTTTGAGATCCTGCTCAGTACTAATTATTTTTTCCCACATTTAAACATAAAATACATTATAACACGGCTTGGTCTCATTAAAAATTGTTTAGTGGAACAGAATCTGGGAGCAGGTTTATTTGGCAATAAGAAAACATGCCCCGTTGTGTTCTTCCCAGGCTGGGGCATCATTAGTGCCAGGCTGTGACACACTGTGTGAAGGAAACATCAGGAGGCTGCAGGAGAGAGAAATCAGCGCTGATACAAACAGTGAGAAAATAAAGGGAGCAAGACCAGTCACAGATTGAACCTTGCGTGTCAGTCATGATGAAAAAGTCTTCCAGAGCTACTTGAGTGGATGAAGAAATCATGCATGAAGATGTCAGTGTGCCTTTGACTGTAGAACATGAAAATCCATTTGTTTTAACCTCCCTTTGCCTCACTAGAGTATTTCAGCAACGAATGATTCTTGGCAGTAGTACTTTACTATGCATGCCCCAGAGAAGGCCTAACTGGGCCTCCCAGGTACTGATGTCATATAAATAATATTATAATGGAGCCCATTTAATGCAAGAGTCAGAATGTGGTAAATGGAGAAAGTTATATTCAGCAGAAATAAATAATATCATTCCAACTGCCAGGGAAGAAATAGCATGTCAATGGAATCCATAAATCAGGCAGTGTCACTCTCACCTAATCAAATTTACCTTGACGTAATTTTACTAAGTATCACCCGTGTGTTACCCAATGTCACCAACTATTTGCATCCTTATGCATAACAGTAATGCAGGTGACATACAGAACAGTCTTGTCTCTCAGGCTCAAAATATATTTGTCACATCTTATTGCTGTCACTTGGCACTTAATATCAGACCCATTAAAGTGTAACTCTTATTAAACATGATGTTAAGCTAAGGAACTGACACTATTTTCAGTTGTATCATGAAGGAGTGAACACGCAAGTTGCAGTCTCCTTGTGTGTCACAGCTGTGTGTGAAGCAGTGGTAAATCCACAGGGGCTGGGAAAAGTTTGAGGATAAGATTGTCCACTAAAGAGGGCACTAAACCAGGTGGGATCCAGGTAAGCTAAGTTTTTCTCTTGGTTTTGCATGATAATGTGTAAGCCATTTCACTGTCCTAATTCTGTGTGTCCCTTTCTGTGATTTGTTTGTTTTATCCAGCTAGATTGCACCTTCAGAGGGTTTGTACTGTGGCAAGGATGATAGCTGAGACTCCTGGAATGTGCTATTGTGTATATAAGGACAAGCCACACTATAAAAGTATCTTACAGACTTTTATAGTCTCCAATTCTTTCAGACCCTGTCAACTTCTATGAGGGATCTTTGCTCAGTTCTTCAAAAGTAAAGAAGCAAGATGAGATTTTTTTTATTTTTACTGGCACAAAGCTCTCTGAACTTGAAAGTCTGGGCTTGTTGATTTGAGCCAATTTTCTCTTAAAAATAAGGACTGATGCTTTTTCCCTTTCTTTAAAAATGAAGCTTACAAGTATTTCAGTTTCCAAGCCAAATCTGAATGCCTTCTAAAAAGCTGTATGCTGACCCCAGGTCTATAAAAAACTGTTTTATGTAGGCCATCATGTAAGGGACACATTGCTTTTTGTAAGAAAATAAAAAAGGAGGCAATAAGTTACAAATCCCAAAGCAGGTAAGTGAGAGTGGAGAAAAGTACCTTCAGTTTTCAGAAACTGTAAATTGTGGTTTAGTGATCCTGCTGGAACCTAAGGGAAATGAAAAGTTGGTGTGAAAAATATTCAAAGGGAAAAACATACAGGGCTGAGAGGAATGGATTAAGAGTGATAAGAAACTTCCGGAAGGTCTGGACATAAAAATAAATGTCCATCACTGTGGACATTCTCATCACCTCTGCAACATCAGACCCTTCCTGGGAAGGCCCTGCAGTAGAAGGACCTGTGACAGGAGAGCAAGAAAATGAGATGTGACAGAATTAGGAGGTGACAGCAGGCAAAGCATGAGCTGGTCCCTCCTTTGGATGTGGAGCAAGGCAGACATAGATGTGACCTCGTAGAAAAGTCTCACAGTCCTGCCAGCTCAGCAGAGGGACAGTGCAGGTCCTGGCAGGGCTGTGAGAAAGGGCTGGCTCAGCTGGCCATGGCAGTGACTCCTACAACACCTGAGAGCCAGTGTTACCCCTCCCTGAACGCATTCCCCAAGGCTCCAGGAGTGAATCCAAAGCAAGGCAGCTCCAGAAGCGAGCCCACAGAGGCTCCCCAGTACAGCTTGCCATTGCTTGATGCAGGATGTGACCTCCAAACCTCTTCTGGTTCTCAATTTGCATTTCATGCCATTTGTTGAATTTTATTTCTGCTCATTGCTTCTGCAGTACTGTCTTTGAAAGTGGTGTCTGCTTGTAATAGCAATTATGGAATATTCAATTTCTGCGTTTTACAATTCTGCTGAATTTTGTTCGAGAATATATTTCGTGCAGTGTTGTTTTTCTCTCTTGATTGGGAGATCTGGCCTATAAATCATATTTCCAGAACATCTAATCATCTAATGAGCTTCAGATTATAATTTGTGGAAACAGGTGCCCTTTCAGAAGGCAAAAAAAGTGACATTTATGCAAATATTTCTTCTAAAAATGAATTTGCTGCCTATTCATAAAAATGCAAGGAAACTTTATCTCTGTGGTTTCCTTGTTCTAATTCATTTCACAAATAAATTTAAGACAGCTAGCAAACTGAGAAAAAATTATCCTGGTTGAGGTGTTATTTCATTCAGTTTTAAATATTAATGTATGATGTTGCATCGTTATGTAGCACTCTTCACAAAGATGATATAAACCATTTGTTAAAGAAAATATGAAGCTTCTGAAATGTCTGCTCATAAATGTTTACAAGAGAGATCATAGGTAGAATTATAGGAAAGGCAAATGAAGAATAGATGAGCCTAGGCAACCCTGGCATAAGACATGGTTGGCAAGCAGCCCAAGTTGGATTTCTAAATGATGACCTTTTCTTCCTTGAAATAATATTTTTGCATTTCTAAGGCACACTATGCCATGATCAAAGTGCCTATACATTGAGTCTGTATGTGAAGTGGGTGTACGTAGTGAAACATGTAAAATCAGTAATCACAGGATCACTGAATGGCCTGGGTAGGAAGGGACCTTAAGGATCACCTGATTCCACCCCAGCCATGGCAGGGCCACCCCCCAGTGTCCCAGGAGCTCCCAGCCCCAATGTCCAAGCTGGCCTTGGGCACTGCCAGGGATCCAGGGGCAGCCCCAGCTGCTCTGGGCACCCTGTGCCAGGGCCTGCCCACCCTGCCAGGGAACAATTCCTGCCCAAGATCCCATCCAGCCCTGCCCTCTGCCACTGGCAGCCATTCCCTGCCTCCTGGCCCTGCAGCCCTTGGCAATTGTCTCTGTCCAGCTTTGCTGCAGCTCCTTCAGGCCCTGCAAGGCCACCCTGAGCTCAGCCCAAAGCTTCTCCTGTGCAGGTGAACAATGGCAGCTGTGGCAGCCTTTCCTGCCAGCAGAGCTGCTCCATCCCTCTGCTCATCCTGGAGCCTCCTCTGGGCTCACACCAAGAGCGGATGGAATTTTTCAGTGTCTTTGCTGCAATTTGGAAGAACTGAAAAATTGTGAAGTCCTGAAAGCCCAGCCCCTTGCTGTGGCTTGGCTGGTGGAGATGGCACACATGGGCTGCTGGAACAAGGAAAGGATGTGCTGAGAGCAGAGCAGAGAAGGGAGAGGAACATTTAGACTCCCACCCCACAGCTCTGTGTCATGGTGCAGTCTTTGCACCCTGTGTGAATTATTCCAGGTGCCCTTCAGCTCCCACAGCAGTCAGGCTTGCACAGGTAAGTCCTGTCTCAGTCTCCTGCTCTCCAGGGCTGCACAGACCCCTCTGGTGTAGCATGCAAAGCCAAGGCCAACTTCCCTCAAAATCTTAATAAAGAGGTAGTGAATTGAAGTCTGCTGGGAAATTCACTGTGAAGGAAAGAAGCAAGTGGATTTTCTTACCTATTCTCCTTAGGGAATTAGAAGAAAACCCCCCCCATATAAACTGGGGCTTTCTGTTTGTTTGTACCCTGCTCACTGAGCTCACCCGAGCCCATGCAAACAGCATCTCACTTGCATAGTTCATTCTTACCATATAAAGACTTTATTGAGTTTTCTAACTAGATTTGGGCTTTATTATGTTTGCCAAATGACAGGCAATATTAATGCTACTGCTTTCTTCCAACATACAAATTATAGAAATCTATTTAATTTCATTACAGCAGTTGAATTAATTGTGTATAATATCATATTGAGGGTTTTGCTACACAGGAAGGAAAGCAAATTAAGGTGGCAATAAGCATAATTGAAATCCTTTACGTGTTTAACAATTATTTTTTTGCCTTCTCTTTATATTTGTTCTTCACAGTTTTGGTTGTCCTATTGTTAATTCCAGCAAAAACAAGTCTCCAGATTTGTAGCTGTTTTGACATGCCACTGTTAGCTCACTGAAATGTGACAAGTGCAGAAGAGAACTTCTGATTGGATTCTATTGCAGTATTATGCTATGCCTACCAGTAAAAAATGCAGAGAAAATTGAATCCTAAAATTATCTTCCTCTCTTCCATTTACTCACCAAGCCATTTCTTCTATTTTTCAATTATCATCTGGTAATAAATGTGTCATAGTGCAAGATGAGACCTCCGTGGAATACGGCAACACTGAAGACAGAGTGGAAAATTCAAGAATATGCAAACTTGTTTGGATGCAAATTTGGTCATTATATTGAACCGAAAGATGGGAGCTGGAGAGAAGGGAAGTAGCAAAACTCCAGAAATTTCCTGGGCTAACAAAAGAGTCCTCTGCCACATCTGCCACTGCATACCACAGCATGCTTCTTCCAGGGGA